ATGTGCAATTTTGGTTTTTGCAATTCTCCACCTTGAACCAAAGATTCTTCCATGCATCTACCGTATCAGCATTTCTATCATAGTCCCAGAGTGGTGCTAGGGGCCCAGAATGGTGTATAAAAAGTTGAGGATTTGAACACACTGTAGAGCTGACAGCTGAAAAGGAAATTCAGCACTCGGAGAATAAAGCTCCCCCCAGGAACTCCAGGAACAACCCAGCTGTTGTACTGTAGTTATGTGTCAAGATAACAAACTGAGAGCAGGAAATGCTAACTTAGTGAATTCGCAGGGATGGTCTAAGTGTAATGTTGAAATAAAAGTTAACTCTTAATATTACCTACGGACAGGATACCTACTGCCTTTATACATATGCCATATATATGTGGAGATACACACGTACACACACACATATATATGCATACACACACAAACACATGTATGTAATACAAACATGGTTTGCAATCCATTATTGAAAATTATTTTTGTTTAAATATTCATTCTTTTGAGAGTATACATTTTACAAAGAAAATGTTATGGAGACAGTGAGAAAAATGGTTGAGGCGAGTGTTATGCAAATTAAGTTACATGGATGAAACGAGAGTTACTACCCTTCACTTTTTTTTTCTTTTGCCCTCCCTCTCCTGACCAACTAGATCCAAATAATCTTTACTGGCTGCTAAATTTCTCTTGAGAAATCAAGCAACTCTCTAGAATTGCAGTAATAAATGACAATTTCTTACAAAAACATGTGTAAAGTAACTACAGAATGAAGTATTCAACCCATAGAAAGGAACTGCTAACACATGTAACATGGAAAATAGCTGATAAAAGTCTCTTTGGTGCCATTCAATTATGGCATCTGCAGAAACACAAAAATCCTTCCAATTATTTTAGTAAAATCTTCATTTATTCATTATTTCAGAGGCTGAGCAAATGGTTTGTGTAAACATATCCTTCGGTAACATGCACATGTTTATTTTAGCCATCTGAAGGCTTCTTCTATGTTTATATAAGCCATCAGACACATACAACCACTCACTTGTGGCTTTGCATTTTCTTAAAAGGGGTGAAGGGGGAGAAGAGAGAATGGAACAGTAAATTCAGTTTCTCTTTTGCATAAAGCACTCCCTCTAATGTTTTAAAATAGCTTATGTTTATATTATTCTTGGATTGTCCTTTGGCTTTCTTTCATTCAATTATATTGATCTTTCACATCTGATAGTACTAGCTATATTCTGACTATCACTTTAAGAAAGGAAGCCAGTCAGGGAGTAACTGCTATATATGTTTATGCCCACATAACTCACATATGCAACAAGGTAATTTGTCCACATGAGGACAAAGCACAAACACAACAGTATCTAGCTTGAGCAATTCACCACCTATGATCTTCCTAAGATCTGAGCCCATCCTGACTATAGCAGAAGTGAGCCCTTCACCAGTATTTTACTCTGGGTTAACTGCAGTTCCTGACCTTTCACTTAGGGAGAAAAATTGACTTTGTCAAGGTGCAAATAACTCCTTTACTCATTTTCTCTCTCTCTCTCACTCTCTCTCAGTCACACACACACACACACACACACACACACACACACACACACACACACACAGAGTTCACAAAATTCTAAGGTTAAAACAACAAAACACCTTCAGGGTTGCAACCTAATAAGGCTGTGAAAACTTTCCCAAAGAGTCAGCTTTGGTTCCTAAGGGAATGCTTATGCCTTGGGGTTGTGGAAGGATAGAGGAAACCCTCCAGCTTTGATTATACTTGCACAGCTCCCTTGGCACTGCCATTTTCAGTTCCAAAAAGAGCTACATTTGACATGGAAACACCTCAACAGGGCAATTAGTATAAAGCAGAAAACAGGGCAACCATGGAAAAGTGTTTGTACAAAGAAAGTAATGGCAACAAACAACAATCAATCAAAATAAAATAAAGCAAAACCAAAAACACCCATTTTGCTTTGTCCTTTTCTACTACAGTCTCCAGGGATCGCCTTTTGTTAAAAGGCAACTACCACAACAAAAATAACCTGTGATATTTTCTTTATTCCATGGCGACAAAGGCAAATCATTTAATTCTTTGGATGAATAGACCTACGTTTCTTCAATATTTTCAACTTATTTAGATGACTCTAAAGTTATAGCCATGCCCTGACGATTTTAGACGTCTATTATCTGCCTTAAAAGTACTAGAATTACAGACATTTAGGACTTCTTTTTTCAATATTCTTAAAAAAAATATGTTTTAAAAACAGCCACAGGTCACAAACTAAATGATGAATAAAACTGTCATGCCACAGACAAGGCCTATAGTATTGTCAAATATAAACTCTATTTGTGTCCATTTTTGAAAACTATAACAAAGCAAAGCAAACTGTGCCATTTGAATTTATTTATTCTGAACTGCATCACACCTAGATTTTAAGAACTGGGAGCATTTCAATCACCACAGCATTTAGACAGTCTACCATAAAGATCAATAATACCTATTGAATGTAAAAATGTGATGCCTGCCATTATCAATTACGTGCTTTCTGAACCATGATAGAAAGAGAAGAAACAAACCGAGATACTGGCTGGGTGCAGTGGCTCATGTCTGTAATCTCAGTACTTTGGGAGGCCAAGGCATGCAGATCACTTGAAGTCAGGAGTTTCAGACCAGCCTGGCCAACATGGTGAAATCCAGTGTCTACTAAAAATACAAAATTAGCTGGGCATGGTGGCGCATGCCTGTAATCTCAGCTACTGCGGTGGCTGAGCATAAGAATCACTTGAACCTGGGAAGCGGAGGTTGCAGTGAGCCAAAGTCATGCCACTGCACTCCATCCTGGGTGAGGAAGTGAGACAGTCTAAAAAATAAAAGACAAAAAACAAACAAACAAAAAAACAAGATACCTTTTAAAGAGCTTTTGGAAACATTAAGACCATTCTACATGTCATTACCTACTAAACAAAAGAAAAGCTACTATTTTTGAGAGAAAAAAATTTTACCTAAATAAATTCTGAATTTTTTTCTGACTTACTATGACCTGAAACTGATAAACACACCAATTTTTCACCAGTAAGGGGATCTGTAACATCAACAATACAGCCCTAAGAACTGAGTTTAATCATCAGATTCATTTTCTCCAATACATGTGTTCTGAGATTTATTATCCACTAACCTTCTTTTTTCATGGGCTATCAATTTTTTATTTAAAAAATTACTAGTAACTAGGCAAAGTTATATTTTAAATCTCTAACAATTTGCAGATATGTTTTAGAGGTGCTATGCTATTTTTAGATTTAGTAAGTCAATCAAGATTCCCCAGGTTTGGAAGTTCACATAGCTATAGGCGCATTTACAAATTTGAGTACATGTCATCTGGTTTGCAATTCTTGTAAATATGGTAAGCTTGTATGCAAACATGAGCCATTTTGATAACTGATAGAGCATGATATATGAGTTATTAAATAAAATATGCAAATATTTGGTTACTAAATTCAATTAAATTAACTTTAAAATGTTTATTAATTCAGAATATTTTAATGAGACACTTTCATTTAATTTAATTAAGACTATTAATCATTAAGCCTATTTGGATAAGATGCTTCCATTGAGTTTATCTTCTTTTTATAAGCATATACTGTATTTTTTTCAAAAGGATGAATATAATCTTCTTGAAAAAAATCACAATATGTAAAAATATATCCCTTTTTAAAGTGGAAGTTATATCAATCATTTTTTTTTTTTAATAAAGATGGGGGGGGGGTTCACCATGATGGCCGGGCTGGTCTTGAACTCCTGACCTCAGGTGATCCACCCACCTCAGCCTCCCAAAGTGCTAGGATTACAGGCGTAAGCCACTGTACCCGGCCTCAATCTAAAAGAAGAAAGGTCACATTGTATTCCATTTGGTAGTGAATTAATAAAAAGTCATTGTTTTTAAAAACATAATCTGAATAATTCCCTTAATTTTTATCTGAATTAAAGTGGACATTTAATTATTTTGATTCTTTAAAATCTACTCTTCAGCAGTTTCTGTGTGAACCAATATGAAGATGGGCAGACAACTCTGTCTGAGTATCTACCTTTCTACAGACACTTTCCACAAAGGAGGATTACAATCAGAGCTGGGTTGGAAAATTATGTCCACTCTATTTGGTGAACTCCTTACGGGATTACCTCATTCTCTTCTGATAATTTTTATTTCTGATTACTTATGATTATACCACCAATCTAATTATTTGTCAATTTGATACAACTTGTTCTTAAAATAAGTAACATACAAGAAGCAGCTGACTTTGAACTACTTATTTTCTAAAGGAAATGCATAAGACAATATTAGAACTGGTTTTGAAAATGAAGTTTTAGAATAGTTTTCTCAGCCAACCAAATAAAGTCAATCTTCTATGAATTACATCAGTATACAAACAGAAATTAAAACTTTAACAAATTCCTTCTTTAGCTACTGATTCCAACAATCTTCCCACCCAAAATTTATGGGTGCTGTCAATAATAGTTATATTGACTAACTAAAATTTCTTTCTAGTTTTTTTCCCCTGCTACAACATGGGAACAAATGAATAGTGAAATGGCTTAGAATTAGCAGTAGAGGAAAGAGTTGAAATAAGAAGAATCTACAATATGAAAACCAATGCTTTATCTTCAGTTAGCTCAAAAATCTTCCCTAAAGTTGTGATTTCACTTTTCAGGTTCTAAAATCTAAATGTCAAGTTCCACCCCCTCCCCCACCAAAAATATTATAAATTATAGAAAACATTTTATAGCATTTAAAAATTCCAATGATCAGTAAGCATATACTATAGTCCCAACTTAATTTGACTTCCCATTTACATAAGAAATAAAAGAGAAGGACAAAGAAAGAAGAATGGCATAGCCAAAACAACTAAATTTTTAACATATATTTTCTGTAAAGCTAGTTAAAAACAAACACTATAGCTCATGTAATTTTTAGGTGTAAGTGTAGGGTTGGAAATAATTAAAATGTTACCTTTGCCAAGTAATTCCCAATGTATCCTCACTGGTACTGGGGTATAAATGCCTGCCGTTTTGATTCATGGTCCAGTCACAAATCCTCAGCTGTCAATTGAAACCTAGCAGTCAGATATGGATCGAGCAGTTCTACAGTTTTTAGTATTTAAATGAACACATGCAAACTAGTACTGTACATGGCATTAACCTTACTTTCCCAAGAGGCAACTTAAAGAAAAAAAAAAAAAGCAAAAGAAAATCTTATTCCGAAAAGCAAAATTCCTAGACTCTTTTTTAGAAAAAGCTATTGCAATATGCTTCTCTATTAATTAAAGCATACAAGAGAAACAAGTGCTTAGAACATAACAATTAGCCATTATTAGAGTACAAATTGAGCTGAAATAAAAGCAAACGTTAATATTCAATAGAGAGATATATTTTAGAAAGAAAATAAAAATGCATTTTTTTCTATGCATCATACCAAATAATCTGCACTGAATAAAATAATCAATAACTTTAAGCATGCAGTTTGCAAAACATAGAAGACATGCAGTTTAGAGGAGAAAGGCCCATCTTACAAACATTCGCCCTAACTTGTGTTTGGAAGCATCAAGGTCCTCAGTTTTAACCTTTTATTAATTTTGTTTTGCTTAAACTGGCATTGTTTAGGAAGAGTTGATAAGCGTTTCTAGTTTTATTTTAAACTCAGAGTAATGGCATTTAAAATACTTTACTACATCTGAAGAAAGTGAGGAATGCACTGAATACAAGCTGAAACAAATTCTTCCCAGATCTCCGAATCATCAGCTCTGCCCTTGAGAGATTGTTCGAGTAACCCTATCCAGCTCTGCTTGGTTAACAGCTGCCCCACAGTGCTAGCAGATTTATTGAAAAGATATATTGCTTATTTTTATTTTTTAGAAACTAAACTTATCGTTTTAGGGGGGAAAACACACTAGAAAATCTAGTTTTTAACCTTTAGATAGCCACACTGTAAATTAACAGCATCTTACATTCAAAAGATGACTTCTTCACAGTAATCCACTAAACCTTGTTTGCTGCTTTCCAGATGATGATTGGAACCAAATTACCAAAAATTATCATAAATTTAAACTTTTTGATAAACTATTTTAAACATTTCTGATAATGTTACAGCTAAATAATTGGCTATTAAGCATCTTTAATTTTCCTTTTAGACTCTTGAGCTTATGCATATGCTAAGTAATAGTGATTCAGGAGTTCTAGAAAGGTAGTTTTTGCTCATTTTTCTATAGATCTATGAGGCTCCAAAAATACTAGCTCAAATTTCCAGACCATGTGTTTTAATTCTATGAGTATTTCAGGATTTCAATTAAAGGTGTTTTTATGATTTAAAGAACTGAAAAAATTCCCTGCATATACATAGGTAGATCAATAGATTGATAGACATGTAGATTCTGCTCAGGATATATGTCATAAAGAAGTCAGAAATCAATCAGTAAATAAATTAGAAAAAACGTATTCTTTTTTTTGAGACAGAGTCTCACTCCATCACCTAGGCTGGAGTGCAATGGCACTGTCTTGGCTCACTGCAACTTCCCAGGCAATTCTCCTCCCTCAGCCTCTCAAGTAGCTGGGATTACAAGAGCGCACCACCACACCCAGTTAATTTTTTGTATTTTTAGTAGAGATGGGATTTGGCCATGTTGGATAGGCTGGTCTTGAACTCCTGACCTCGAGCAATCTGCCTGCCTTGGCCTCCTAAAGTGCTGGGATTAAAAGTGTAAGCCACGGTGCCCGGTCATAAATGCTCTTAAAATGGACCAAAATATTCCCATGAAGGGAAAAAAGTATACTTGCTTTGTTTTAAATCAGATAACACACTTTAAATATTTCAGAGAAGTGAATGTGTTCAGTCTAGTGGGAAGCAATATGGTAAGATTTTTTAAAAGTTCTCAAAATGGGTTGTCTAATCAAATTTAGTGTGATGAGACAATTTTTTTAAGCTTAAAAAATACAATGAAAACAATCAGAAAACAGTTCAAGAAACTTGGCTTTGTATAACAATAACATTACTGATTAATCACTTACTGATTCTACTCTAGTCAATGAAAATGCAAGGGTTTTGTTTAATTTTTGTTTGTTTGTTTTTTGAGACAGGGTTTCCCTCTATTGCCCAGGCTGGAGTTCACTGGTACGATCATGGTTCACTGCAGCCTCAACCTCCAGGGCTCAAGTGATGCTCCCATCTCAGCCTTCTGAGTAGCTAGGACTACAGGTTCACGCCACCACGCCTGGCTAATTAAAAAAACAAAAATTGTAGAGACAAGATGGTACTATGTTGCCCAGGCTGGGGAAAATGCTAGTTTTGAATCAATGACAGATATAGAAGAGGGGAGATGTATATTTAGGGGTAGCACATATAAATTCTGTTAATTATTAACTTCAGATTATCTATGGGGCTCTCAGCTTAGGCTGGAGAGGTTTTCAGGAAGACAATATACTTTCCCAAAGCCAGGGGAATCTAAATATCACTCACTGATTGGCTTATTGTCCCACAGACAACTGCAGGACCACATCTCCTCAGAAAAATGTGTTCTAAATTAGTTTTTGTTGTTAATGTTGCTAATATTTTGTTTGTTTGTTTGTTTGTTTGTTTTACCACCCCCAAAAATGTGAAGTGGGCTATCTTTGACCATATGCTGTACAATTTAAAATGAACAAATTTTTGGACTTCTCTTTTGCAAAGGCAGTATCAAAAGGGAATAAACCTGACTACAGCTACTCATTTTCATCTATTGAAGATATATGCAATAGAAATCATTTCTCCCAAACAGAAAAATATGCTTAAGTACATACAAAATAATCAATAAATATATTTAGCAACAATTTAATCGCAAAGAAATTGGCTGGATATTAATTAGTATTGAATTAATTTTAGTTGTTAAAAATGTAAAATATATTATTTATCTGTTTAGGTTGTACAGTACCATTATCAACATTTTCTGAAGTTTCTGAGGAGACATGCTGTAACTTAAGCCAGATTACTTGAGCAAGAGCTTCTCTGTTCATGTTGGTTTTTTTCAATTAATAAACCTTCTTGGTTGCAAAGCGTCATTGAAATAACAAACTCCCTGATAAAGTGAAATTTTAAAGGCGATGGTATGGGTGTGGGAAGTAATTAAATCATTAAAATAGAAATAATTTATTCACCAAAGATTTCCATGATAGCAATTCCTAAGAAAATCATTTCCTAATCTTATTTGACCAAGATTTTCCTGACCAAGCAAATTTTGAACAGAGTCTAGTGTATTTAAGTTTTTGGGGGCTCATGTTATATATTCTTAGCATTAGAATAATTCAATGTTCCTAATACAAAATAATTTTACATTAGGCTTTAAATAAGTTTAACATAATAGGTGACAAATCTTTTTTGAGTTTGGGCCAGTGATTCCTTAGTTTCTGTCCTGTGACAGAATCAGTGTTAGATAATTCAGCTGTAAATTCTTTTTTAAGTTTTAAAACTTTAATTTTAAGCAACGCATAAATACATGCCTTTCATTTACATAGAATTTTCCTAAGTTCAAAGCTTTAAGAATGCTTCAAAAATTTTTCAAAGCATTTTTCATTAAGAAATAGAAAATTGGTTTTTTTCTCCCAACAGTAATGAAATTTAAAATACCAAGTGTCACTCCGTTTGGAAATTTAGTCTGTCAGAGTTGTCTGTTTTTACGTGGAGGTGGGAAACAATTCTTATTTTTGTAACAATATAGACTCTAAAAAAGAACTGATCATATGCATATCCTTACAGAAATGTTCACTTGCATAAATCATTTGAATCCTTTATTTATATGCAGTACCAATTGAAATTCTATTGTCTAGAAAATGCCCAGAATTTCAAAACCAAACAAAAGGCGAAGTAAAAAAGTGAGAGTAACCTCCAAAATGCTATCAGTAAAGGGGTAAAGTTAAAACAGTTTAAACAACTAAGGAAAAAGGGAAGGTGACGTTTTCACTGCATATGTTCTTAGGGTGGAGTTCTATGGTCTCTGGAAGGAGAACCTTCTTCCTGGCCCAACTCAAATCAGATTGCTTCAAAGAAAAAAAGAAAAAGGATGGGGGCCATCTGGTTCCTCTCAAATGGCTACATAAAAGGGAAACACCTAAGATTTGGATCATTATCCTTTTCCTAAACTACACTCAAATAATCATGTAAGTAGCAGCCATAAAGAATTAATACTGCTTGTGACTTCAGAATAAGAGTTTGTTTATTCAAATGGGGGTCTTCCTTTGTTATTAACAGGGTCTTTTGTTAAACGCACAGCAATTAGCTTTGAAAACAAAAGAAAGAAGGTAAGCAAAATGTTCTACTTTGCTAGACTCAGCAAACAGGCTGATGTACTAACAGTCCCTATGATGACAACAAATTTCAGTTGAACCACTAAACCATTACTGTGAACAGAACAATCAACACAGGCAAATTTACCTTCTCACTTTTTTTTTAAGTTTACAGAGACCCTCAGGGGAATATCTTGAAAGGTATGTTTTATGTTTTATTGTGTTTCTTCATTTCTCCAGACCCTCAAGGAAACAGATTTTTGAGGGGTGAAGGTTCTTTTTGCGGGGAAAGACAGATGCTTAAAAGGATTAACACTCTTAATATTCATACTTTGGATTAGGAGAATTTTATTTTATTGCTATTATTAATTACCTACATGGAGCAAATTAAACGGTCTCTGGATGAATAGTATGTAACCTCTGAAGGAATGGTATGAACAAGAAAAAAGGTCAGAATAAAACTGTGTTGCATGTTTCACATATAACACATGGAAAACAACAACAAAAAAGATACTCAAATCATCCTCAGATCTTGAAAGTAACTTCTAATGCCAATTTCTGAAACCACACTTCTTGATATTTAATTTAATTAGCAGAGGTAGAATTAACTTAAATGGGTATGCATAGTCCATGAGCAGAATAAACATTATTAACCATAAATCATAAGTATTAGAAAATGAAAGTTTTTTTTTCATTAGAGGCTACTATAACTTTTAAATTTTAAGGTTTCAAGGGACTTCTAAGCTCACATAGTTCAACCTCTTCATTTTCCTTTCCAAAATAAGGCTCCA